CCTTATCTAAAGGAAGCTGCTGCCAATTAGCTACACACCGAAGTCCTGTGCTGAGCACACCAACAAGGTCATCCTTGGGACTGTTTCTATTTTTTGTTTCTCTTGGTCTCATTTTTTGATGTGTCTAGTAATTTCTAAATTGAATTAGAGACGTACTGTAGGAAAATTATAGAGACTGGACTAGTGGCATCCTAGGCTCTAGTCTTGAGTAGTCAGACGGGCAGGTCACCCTTCTCCAATTCAAGATGGAGTTGCCTCAAAGTTGACTGGCATTTTGAAAAACTCACCTTGTGTCTGGTGTGTCTAACTGCTTAGGAGTAGTCTGAAGGCTGGTGGTACTGACTAAGGCCCCTGTCCTTCTCAGGTGTCAAACTCCAATTATACCCTCAGCACTGAGAGACTGTCAGATCTACTTTGCTTTTTAGTGACTCTTGAGCCTCACACATTACAAGGCAAAAATTAGATGAATGCCTAGGGCATTGGTCCCCAACATTTGTTGGCACCAGAAACCAGCCAGGGAAATATTCGTGGAAGACAAGTTTTCCACAGGTGGGGTCAGGGGGAGAAGTGTGCAAACCTAATTCCTTCATATGTTCAGTCCATAGCAGGGTTCGTGTTCCTATGAGAATCTGATGTTGCTGCTGATCTGACTGGAAGCTGAGCTCAGGCAGTGATGTGAGCTGTGGGGAGAGGCTGAGAATACAGATGAAGCTTCCTTTGCCTGCCGCTCACCTTCTGCTGTGCAGCCTGGTTCCCGGGTTCCAGTACTGGTCCATGGCCTGGGCATTGGACAACCCTTCCTTGACGGACAAAAGTGTCCCAAATCAGGCTAACATCCCAGTGCCTGTCTGCTCTCTGAGATGTTGATCCTGAATCCTGCTCTTCTAGTTGCACACTTCAATTCTCCTCCCCCCCCCAACCCCGGTTGTTCTGAGGTTTACTGGTACATTGTAGGCATACAACACAATTACATTTCTCACTGGGAACTGTACCTGTACATGATGCATCTTGGTTCTTATTTTTTCCCCATTCCTAGCCCTCCCTTCACACCCTCCACCCTTCCCTATTTACAAAGACTTTATTTCCATTTTTTCCATTTCTCAGCATTTTTCCTTTCCCTTCTCTCCTTTCCCCTGCCCCTCCCACTACCCCTACCACTTTGGACCTTTTCTTCCTAGTTTGCATTATCGATTATTCATTCTAATCATTGGTACATTTTAGGTATACAATATAATGACATTCATCATTGGAAATTTGCACCTTTACATAGTCTCTCTTGGTTCTTAGTTTTCACCCTTGCCCAGCCCTCCCTTCAACCCCTCCAGCCCTCCCTATTTACAAAGATTTTGTTCCTATTTTTCCATTTTCTCATATTAATCCCATTCCCTTCTATCCTTTCCCCTAGCCCTCCCACTTCCTTCCCCTTTGCCCCTTTTCTTCCTATTTCACATTACCTATTATACATTTTAGGCCTTATTTACACTTTCAGTTTTTCACACCAGAGAAACTATTTGGTATTTATACATGGCACACTTCAATTCTTGTTGCTTCAGCCTTGTGAGATCACCATTCCAGTGCCTGTAGGTATGATCCTCTGCTTGGTTTCTTAGCTATTCTTCCAAGCCCCAAACTGGCACATTCCCTGAGGGAAAAGCAAGGTGTATACTACTGGCTCACCAGTCTATACATAGTTCCCTGCTCTCTGGGAGTCTTGGTTTTCCCAGCACTTCTTTTTTATGTCTCCAAACTAGCTATGTTTCACATTTTGTTTACATTTGGCTTTGGTACTGTTTTCAGTGGAGCTTTAATTTGTCACAAGCTGCTCCAACTTACCAAAAGCAGAAGTCCCCAGGTTAACTTAATACTTCAATATAACCACTTCCCCAACAAATAATTTTTTATCCTAAAATTGGGGTTCGAATCCAAGCTTAAGTACTTTAATCTACATAAACCATGTAGGAATTATCTTGGTAAGAATTGACTACAAATGTGATTTTATATATATAAATATTGAAATGATCCAAACAAGACATCAACTAGTTCTTTTGATTCACTGATCTCCATTAAGCCAGATATGTCAGGAAATTTTTATAATTTGTCAGTGGCTCTAAAAGAGTTGCAAATGACTATAAATCTGTGTTATAGTTTGGAGTACTTCAGATGCTCTAGATAAATATTTGATGATAAGTGGACACTAGGCAGGGAAATGGTTTCATGCAACGCAGTAATAAAAAATGACAAGACACTTACCCTTGTGCTTAGCAGGCAGCAAGATGACATTCTGCTGATGGAACGTGAACCCACAGGTGCCAGTAACAGAACACACTTGAAGCAAAGGGACCAGCATTGAAATGGGGACACCACATGACTCCAGCCTTTCTGTGCCACGCCCTAGAAAAAGCCCTATAACACTACAGGTGGGGGAGCATGGTGAGGACGCTAAGTCATCCCCAGCGCCCTGTCCTATCTCCAACTGGGGTTTCTAATATCCTTGAGAATTTATCCACAGAATAAGTGAGCAGCAATAGAGTTTCCTTATCAAAAATGTAGAGGCCTCTTTCAGCATTCAGTCTGAGTTAGGACATGCTCTGTTAGGACACAGGGTCTAAGGAGCAAGGAGCTCCCCACCACATAGATAGCTTGCAAACACAGCAGTACCAAAGAAATGGTGCTGCTCGTGTTGGCTTCTGACATAAGCTCCTCCAGATTGCAACTGACACTAGCACAGTAGCAAGTCCCTGCAGACACGGCTCTGGAGTCTTTCCTAACACATCTATAACCCGTGGGTGCGCTTACCAAGAGGAAATGTCCAGGGACTCAAATGATGGGGATGTGGAAAACATAAAAATAAGGCACATATACTAACTACTTGGTTTTTCACATTTACTGAGTTTAAGACTGAATCACAAAACCCTCAGGAGGATGGGAGGGTGAAAATCACCAAGGTATATATACATTATGTGCACGCATAAGTCTGCACAAATCATGCATAAATCCAAACAAAACCCATCAATCTGTATAACCAATAAAAAAGAGTGAATTTTTTTAAATCAGGAAAAAAAATACCATAGGTCCAAAAACAAACAAAAAAATACTTTGTCAGCTGGGCATACTAGCAGGTCCCTCTAATCCCAGAACTCTGGGAGGGTGAAGCAGGAAGTTTGCAAGTATGAGCCGAGTCTGGAAAAATAAACACCTCAGAAAAACCCTGTCTCAGAAGAAAAACTTTAAAAGGGCTGAGGATGTACCTCAATGTGGAGGCTCTGGGTTCACTCCCCAGTACCACAAAAATCAAACAAGCAAAAAAAGCATTTCCTGTATTTGGCACACACTGTGCCAACAACATTACATGAAGTTTGCTCATCTTCACAAGGAGTTTGTGAGATAAATACTGTCATAATCCTCATTTTTATGGGTAAGGAAAATGAAGAACAGAATGGAGTGGTTTAGAAATGTACTCAAGATAGTAAGCAGCAGAGAGTCCACGGGAAGTAGGTCTCTGGAGGCCACGTAAAGCCCATAACCACACTGCTTTACTGGCCTCTGGGATGGCACTGATCATTTTAATGTCTAGCTGAATATCCTCCATACTTTAATAATGTAACTTATGGACATGTGCCTTTCCTAGCTGTTCTGAAATTCCGAGCTAAATATAAAATGAATGACATCCTGGGAGCCATGATTCTTCCCCAGCACATCTCACTAAGAACATGGCTTCTGAAATCTTTATATCTAGTTGAAATGTGTTTTCTAAGTCTTGCCAGGAAGTTCATTTTATGGCGATATTACACACAGGCAATATAAATTGCCACAGGGCTAAGAAGCCTCCATTCCAATCAGTCCTTTTCCTCTAATTTAGTAGATTTGGAAAATGAAGTGCTTGGTGTATTCCCATTCACAAGTTACTAGGCCTGCATAAAGAGCAGTCACTTAATACGAAAAAGTAGAAAGAATTTCAGATCTGGCCCCTAGAGCCAGCTTCCTTCCCTGAAGCTGCTTCCTACATATTAGCGTGTAGACCAAGTGTCTTTGAAGAGCCATAGACTTGCTCTGATTGCCCAGAAACTTCACACTGCAAATCTGCATCATGGTGAACATTTACCAAGCATAAGGCAAAGAGACAGCATTCTGGCCGTGGCCTTTCTGCTTAGTAGCATGCAAGTGTGAGAAGCCACACTGAGCTCCAGTCTCCTGTTCAATGAAATACCAAAGACCAGCTGCCTTCTGATGCACAGGTAAAAGCACTTCAAAGACTTTTCAAACATAAGACATCGTACATACTAATAAATAGACACACATATCTATATCTTTAAGGGTTAAGTGAGGTATATTATCCAGATGTGGAGGACTGTACCAGCAACAAAGCAGAAGAGGGCAGACAGAACTCCACTAAGCCACCCCAGAGGAAATAAGCCTGGGAGGAGATGGCAGATTTCTACAGTGATAGGAAAAACGTACAATAGTTCAGGCAAAGGGATGGGGAAGAGAAGTAAATGGGTAGGCCATAGAAATGGCTCCTAAAAAGGCCTAATACCAGCATGATGGAAGCTGGAATTGTGAGCTGCAATAGCAGCAGACAAAACTTGCTCACTAACAGAAATTTATTTCCTATAGAAAAGCTGCACACCCAACATCATAAACCAAAATCATCCACAGAAACCCTTGTCATCAAGTGGGACCTTATTTGTTAACACGCTAGTTGTTATGGTTCATACAGTGGTGCCTCAATTCACAAACTTAATTTGTTACACAATTCTGGTTCCAAAAAGAACTGGTCACAAACTGAGTCAAATTTCCCCATGAGGTTCAATGTAAATAAGGTTACAGTAATCTGTTCTGACCCCAGTGAATCTGGTCACAAACTGATTTTGGTTGAAACCAAATCAAATTTTCCCGTAAGGTTCACTGTAAATAAGGTTAATCCATTCTGAACCATATGCGCTTTTTAAGAACAAAAGTAGGAAACAAAGTACAGCCCAAAAGTACAGTACAGTACTAACCTTGCTTGAGGTGATTTCTGGCGTGGAGGACAGGAAGGTGAGGGAAAGGTTACTGTTTGCAGGGAGAGTCCCCTCCTTTAGGATACGGGAGATCTCCTTCAGGGGCTTCCTCTTTTCTTTGTCTCTTAGCTGCAGGGAAAATTTTAACCAAAAAAGTCTGTCTAATGTCACTTGTTTTCTTCCTGCAATGCACAACCCTCCGGAAATGAGAAACCATACTACTGTTCATCAAGTTCAACACTTTATCTGTTACAGTTATTTTGGGGTAGTGCTTCTGAAAGAAATCCTGGCACTCATTCCATTTCTCCATAATGGATTTTATCACATCACTGTTAACCTCATCCACCTCCTCCTCCCCCTCCCCTGACTTCCTTTTCCTCAGTGGAAGGCTCCTCAACAAGTACCTTCTGCTGCTCACTCTGGAGTCCAGCAAGTGCTTCCCTCATCAGCTCCTCCATGTCTCCTCCATCGATGTCCAGACCCATACTCTTGTCCATGTGACAATCTCCCCCACTACCTGTGCATCAGACCACTCAAAGTCGTGTTCGGTGACACATTCTGGCCACAGTTTCCTCCAGGCTGAGTTTAAGGACTGGTGTTTGACATCTTCCCAGGCTTTGTCAGTGAGGTTGATGCAGTGGAGGACACTGAAATGTTTCTTCCAGAGCCAAGGACGTCTCCTCGGTGGCATTAAGACACCAGGTGAAGAGTGCCTGTGTGCACAGCTTCTTGAAGTTGCACATCACTTGCTGAAGAGGTGTTGTGTGTGTTGGGGGGTGGCCTTTGTGAAGTCATACTCGGTGTCTATGTCATCCACCAAGGCTGGAGGCTGTGCCAGGGCACTGTCCATCAGAAGAAAGCACCTTTCAAGCTGTTGGTTATCAGAAAGATATTTCTTAATGATGAGTGTGAACATCTCATGTAGCCATTCCATGATGAGCTGCCTTGTGACCCAGGCTTTCGCATTGGTCCTCCATACGACAGGCAGTCTGGCCTTGTTCACATTCTGTCCTTGGAACGCACAGGGGGTCTGGGAATGGTGCACCGACAGTGGCTTAATCTTTAGATCAGCACTTGTGTTCACACACAGCAAAAGGGTCCATATGTGCTTTGTGGACTTGGTCCTGGGCAGTCTCTTTTCCTTCTGTGTGATATGGGTTCTGTTCAGAATCTTCTTCCAAAAGAGCCCTGTTTCATTTAGTTGAACATCTGTTGTGTGACATAACCTTCTGCCTTCATGAATTCCACAAAGTATTTCTTGTAGCCTTCTGCAGTGGCCTTATCAGAAGTGGAAGCCTCGCCATGTCTTATCATTCCGTGGACGCCACTTCTCTAGTGGAAATTATCAAACCACTCTCTACTAGCTTTAGATTCATCACTTGTTGCACTTGTAGAGAGGAGTTTTCTTGCAGTAAGTCACCGTCCAATTTCTCGGCTTTTTCACAGATCATAGCTGCACTAACACTGTGACCTGCCAGTTGGTCTTCATTCAACCACACTAACAAAAGTTTTTCCACCTCTTCCAGCACTACGTGCTCAGCTTGATTAGTAGCATGACTCCTTTTGCCACGTCAGCTCCTTTGATGGAATCTTTATTCTTCAGAACAGTTGAGACTGTTGACTTCAACTTCGCCATCTTATACTCCAATGCCAAATCAGTCACATGAATTCCATGCTCATGCTTTTCTACAATTTCCTTCTTCCATCCAATGGTTATTTTCTTCAAAACCTTCTCCTTACTATTGTTGCTGTGCACTTTCTTTGGAGCCAAGCTGGACTGAATACAGTACACTACTGTACGTGCCAAAAAGCCCCCAAAAAACTTCACAGGAAGTGTACACAGGTCTGTGGCCACGATCTCAACTAGAGGAAGTCACAACCACGTGTCAGAGTGGGGAAGATGGCCACAATCATGTTCATCACCTGATGCAGAGGTCGTGAGCAGAAGCAAAACTTTGTTGAATGCTTCTGTTCATGAACCGAATTATTTGCAAACAGAAGCGTCCGTGAACCGAGGTACCACTGTGCTGTATCTGGATGTTCCCCAAGGCCTCGTGCACTGAGGAAGGACCTGCGGGTGGTGACTGGATTGTGAGGGTGCTCAGTGTCAGGAGGCAGGGTATGGCTGTACAAAGCAGGTCAGTGGAGTGTGAATGAAAGGGCTCATCTCCCTTCCTGTCTCCTCTCTTACTTCTTGAGCACCTTTCTTTGTGTCAGGCTGTTCCACCATGCTTCTACCTGCAGCCAGCTGACCATGTGAAGGCTAAAACTTCTAAAATGGGAGCCAAAATACATCTCTCCCCCTTTAAGTTGCAGGAGTCAGGTATTTTGTCCCAGCAGTGGAGAAAGTGATGGAGACACTAGTGAATGTATTTATTGGCCCTCCAATTTTCTGATTAGGTATCAGAGGTTTGGAGCAATTTATTAATAGCCAGACCTAGATCAGCATAAATGATAAATACCAGCTTCACAATTGGCTCTGACTCCAGGGCTGAGCTCCCTGCCACCCCGCTGTGTTGCTTCTCTTTCTACCATGTCAGAGCACAAGCCAGAACCCCTACCACGTATATATTTTTGTAAAGAAGATCATCATTGCGCTTAAATCACAGAAAATCTGCCGTGCATGTTATGCACAGAAATTATGTGCTCATAGCAGCTATCTCTCAGTACAGTATAAGTAACTTTCTCAACATCCACATTATCTGACTTTTAGCCAACAGATAAACAATAAAAAAGTGAAATTCATCTTTATTTCTCTTCCTTAAGGACAATTCTGCTATTTTAGAATGATTCAGAAAATTTTTGCAAAAATAGAAATAAGGGAGTCAGAACAAGAGCTCATTTAGGGTAAAATATCATAAATTTGATTTTTAGTATAAGTATCTATGGAGCTATCAAGGAACAGTTCAAAATATTTGATTCAACCTAGTTTAGTAAGGAGTTGGACTCGAAGTTCATGATTGCCAGGGAGAGGAGCCCACTCTGGGCCGGCACAGAGGGTCACTCAGAGGGCTGCTTATAAACTCTGTAGTCCTCATCCAGCACTCAGAGGTGACACCTGATGAGAGCCCTGCCTACAGGAGCCACTGTGCACACAGGACTACTACACAGTCGCACCTCAGATGTGTCAGCTTGGAGAAAAGGCTGAGAATCACTGATACGCAAAAAAGATAATCAATAGAATCTCATGCAAACAGATTAAGACTCTGGAGGAAGATGTCAAAAGAGGGAGAAGACAGAAAGCTAAGAGGGCACAGCACAACTCCATATCTGAGGCTGGAAGGAAGACAAAGGAAGTAAAAGAGAAGTGTAAGAAGAAAGGTGTACTCCTTCAGGGGAGGGATTAATGTGAACATTCTGACCTGAATGCCTATCAATTCATGCAATGGAAAAAAGCTTTAAAACTCTAGCAGTCTCAAAAGAAAATGTTCATAAAATATGTAAATCTTCATTCAGATTATTAGAGAAAGTGAAGAAGCTGGTTTCCATTGAGTAATACAAAGGAAATTCATCACATGTTACACTACCAGAAGGAAACCATACAAGCTATTTAAATGAGATGTATAAACAGACAAAACTTCTCAATTAATTGATTCTAACAGTTTAGAGCTAGAGTAGATATTTTTAATCTGTATAACAAAAACTTGTTTTGAAGAGTTCTTAGGGCCAGCTAAAAAGGCAACCAAAATATTGAAATACTTTGAATTAAGCACAGGTAAAATGCCAATTAATTAATCAAAAATTAATTAAGAAATGCTACGTTTTTCTTACTGACCAAAATAAATTTTACAAAGTTATCTGCCTGGCAATATTGGACTAAAGCCCTGTGCTCCCCATAACAAGGTTAAGAAATTCATATCCTTCTGTGTTTTGGGGAAAAATCCAGAGCCACAAGGACCAATCCATCCACCCTTGCATGATACATGGTCCTCCACCCTTCCTGAGTGACTTCCTCTCTCCTGGAGACATTCCTCAATCATTAGGGAGACTATTCCCCCTATTTCCAGAAGCTGCATGAAGTCATCTCCTTGATTGCTCAGTACATTTTCAACTGCTTCAACATTTTCAAAAGCTTTCCAGAAAAATCTATGACAAGCAAAAAAAATGAGACTGTGTAATACATACTTTGTGGTGCTATTTTTTGGAAGATATATAAAATAGTAGGTAAATAAAATTTCATGAAGAATATCCAAAAATCAATTGATTACACTAGTGCCATGGCTGCAAGAAAGAACATGAGTAGCTATGGAAAATCGCATTTTGCACAAGGATAGCTTACAATGAGCCAGGAATGTAGCTTGGTGTTAGAACATTTGTCAAGTTATGTGAGGTGCTCTAAGTTCAAACTCCAGCACTGCACACACACACACACACACACACACAAAGACATGCGTGCACACACAAGACAGTTTATGAAAACTTCAACTGTTTCATATTTACATTTAAACACCAAAGAAAAAAATACTGAGGAAGGACACCCGACTTCCTAACAACAGGAAACATTCCAAACTGAGTCACCCAATAGGCAGCAGGTAGCATTGGAGTACAGTGCCAAGTTTGACCAATTCTAGTAATGTAGGAAAAGAAAAAATCATAGCTTTGCCAAAGGAAGAAAGTGCTAGCCATAAACATGACTTAAATATATGGCCTTCAGGCCCACATAGGTTTCGAGGACCACCCCATTCAAATGTCAGGAGCTTCCTTAATTTTGAATCCCAGGCATAATTCAGTGATGGCAGGTCCAGCTGATGCTTTAAGACTCATAACTTCCCATCAGTTTATTTGTTCAGAGGGAGGTCAATAAAAATATATTTTATTTCTATATCTGTGAGATTTCTCATATAAATAAATATCTAAACATAAGGGGACAAATGGTCTAACTACATGTCATTTTAGGCCCTGCATAAATTAATTCAGAATACAATTCCAGGGTAGAAAAGTGCTGCAGTAGCAGCCACATTTGATAGAATCATATTAATATGGACTAATAATCAGTAACCCATTCTGTGAACACTGCACCAAAGAGTCATGTGCATTATCTCCTTTAGTCTCAAGGAGAAATTCCTCAGAAGTGTTTAAAACCCGAGCACTGGACAGATGCAAAAGGAGAGGCTCGGGAACCTTTACTGAGTGCCCAAGATGCCTAAATTAGTGCAAAGTGAGTGTCACAGAAGAGATCGTTAAGGAAAGATTCAACATGTACCCTCCTTATAGTCAAACAATGCTGCAATTTGTAGTAGACCAACAGAATTTGGCCAGACAAAAGTATTTAAAGTGACCAGTTTAATGAATTCTAAACAATGATTAATAATTAACACATCAATCTTCTGAATGTCAATGGATAGCTCTAAAGTGCTAGAGCTTGCTTGAAAAGCGTCTTGTTTTCCATTGATTAAATATTCTCTCCAAAATCTTGTTTACATTATTAATTTGCTTAGCAACCCTTGTCTTTGGAGAAGCGTAAACTTCCACCTGGTCTCTGAAGAGTTATCACATATTTTTAATTAAAATGGTCTTGAGTAAATTGAGTTATTATTTTTATAGGTTTTATTATCAACAGTATTAACTGCAAACAAGGTAGATTAAAAAACAAGGTGCAATTGAAGGTATGCAAACACAGGTAACTTAAACATTGAAATATCTAGGCTTATATAAAAGACCTGAGTCCAAATTACCAAAAATGGAATGCGAGTCATTTCAGTGCTTTAAAAGAATGACTTGAAACAGCAGAGAATGTAAAGATGCGTCAAAAGTTTACAAGTTCAAAATATAAACTGCATACATCTACTAGGAAGAGCTAAAACAAAATTAAACACCATTAGAAAGATTTTGACGCTTTGCTCTCTTATGATCCAAATTATAGTAACAGAGTTTTGTACATAATGATCCAATTATATGCTGTCGTGAACAGTTTGATTATTTTCTGCCTGAGCAGAGTTTTTTTAATCAAGTGCCCTGCAGATCTTCCAAATGCGAATGCTTCTAACCTGGCTTTGCCACCCTTTCACTACATTCAATCTTCAATGGACATAGAGGTGTGGATATTTGTTTAGAATAGTACTCTTAAAATCCTTTCACTTCACTTTTAATTTCTTAAAAGGCAGCTACCATTTTTGACTATCCACTCTGCAAAGGTGCTGAATTAACTCACCCATTCTTCCCAGTGCTCTCTATACCAGACAGACACGTAGGGAGCCACGAGAGCTCCAACGTATGAGGAAACTGGAAATAGAGAATCCTAAAACAGATAGGCAGCTTCTGATTAGGGCCATGTCCTCAGGTTACACAGATAGGCCTGTTTGAAATTCCAGCTGTGGCTCGGGTACCTTAAACTCTCTAACTCACCCTCTCCCCCATCTAGATAAGGGGAGCAATTCAAGTCTTCTGCTCACAGGATTGTGAGGAGTAAATGAGATGATGATGCAAAGGTTTTAATATAATACCTGGCACATCGGTATGCTCAGTGAGTATGAGCTGCCCATAAGGATGGCAGTAATTATGTTATGACTACTTTACACATTATAGTAAGTGCAGAGATGAGCTCTGTAAAGGACGCTAATAAGGGCACTGAAGAAGGGCAATAAATCTTCCTGGAGTAACTCAGTCTGAAGAGATAGAAGTGGGAAAGAAGGGAGAGAGATAATGCTGAGTAATGAGTCTTCAAACTCTAGGGAAAAAAAGGAACCTAAAAACTGTTTAAGAAAGACTGTTAAGAAAAGATGCCACGTTTGGTTAAGTGATGGTTTCATCGTAAGAGATGCAGTCTGGGGCTACTGAACAAGCTAGAACCTTTGCCATGCTGATGAGCATCAATTACCATCATCCACAAAGTCATTTGCTGCGTCACATCTTGGCATGGGAATGCTCATTTGTTACAATTATCCCCTTCAGTCTGACATGAAGAGAAAGAACTTCTATTACCCTGGGAAGCGTCTCCAAATAATTAAAATTCTGAAACGTTTCTTGAGCTGAAAGCAGAGGAGACCCTTGTGGAGGGCACATTCTATTAAGTAAGCAAGCTCATATTTGTTGTTCTTGTAGCACAAGTACTCGAGCATACAAATCCCACAGCACCATCAGTTATTTTTAACCTAACTTTAAAAAGTCCCGTATCAACCTTTTAGAAAGGGCCACTATTTCCTGAGCACATCTGGGTACCTTGCTAGGCACTTGTCACTCTGGAAAGGTGGTAGTGTACGTGACATAATCTCCCAGGGTTTCCAGGGAGAAATTACTATCAGCCAGAGTTTCAAAGATGAAGAAAGTGAGACACGGAGAGCTGAATCACTTACTCAAGTTTCACAAGCTTAAACACATTAGAGCTCTTACTTGAACCCAAAATTTAATTCAGTGCCTATAAGTACTATATTATAGTATATGCACCTTAATATATTTTCTTTTCTTTCTTTCCTTCTGTTTCTAAAAATAATACTCAATTTCAAAATACAAATTAAAGTGCAGTGGGGTAAAGTGAGCTGAGGGTTCAGAGTGAATAGGTGGGAGAACAAAAAGGAAGGGAAATTATTTAGCAATAAGATATGAAAGTAGAGTTCCAATATCAACTCCAATCAAACCGGGCTTTCAAGAGGATCAGACAAGATTCTCTTTTTAACCAAAGAAAGAACTCAATTTTTAGTCAAGGTCTTGGACAACAAGGGGCACGCATCCCTTATTAAACTCTGAGGTCTCTTTTTCTCATCACTGAGCTTCCACTCTGCAATCAT